GGGCTGGGTTCCTGGCTGTAAGTCTATGGTGAACTCGACCTCTCTGTCCCCTGGTAGACCAGGCAGTTCATCCGGAAATACGTCTGGAAAGTCTCGGACTACTGGAATCTCTTGGATACAAACTTCTTTCTTGGGTTTACCTAGTTAGGGAAAATACAATATCAAGGCACTGGGAATTAAGAAGAAAAGAATTTGTCATTAGGGAAAATCAGTACCGAATAATTTTATTAACTTGTAAATGGCTCCTCGTTGGGAGGATTAAATACAATCTTTTTATTAAAGCAGTCTATGGTGACGTGATACTCCGCTAGCCAATCCATTCCTAGGATTACATCAAAATCCCCGTGTCTAACCCTATCAGGTCCACCCTCAATTTCCTATCTGCTATCTCCACGGCACATGCCCTGTAGATAACCTCTCCTAGCAATGTCTCCCCCCCAGCGGTAGATACAAGCAATAATGAATCAAGTCTATCAGGTGATACACAAATTTTGGAAGCAAGAACATGTGAAATAAAAGAATGTGATGCACCAGTATCAAACAAAATATGAGCAATGTGGCCAGAGATAGTATACATACCATGTACCACGTCCGGGTCTGCGTCGGCATCCTTCTGGGTAAGGTTGTAAACTTTGCCCTGGATTGGAGGCCTCCCTTGATTCTGGTTCCTAGGGCACTCCCTCGCATAGTGCTGGGCACTGTCGCATATGCGACAAGTGTTGTTCAGGCGGTAGCAGGGTCGGTCCCCATAATCCCTGCCGCAGTACTGGCAGATCTTCCCACGTGTTGCCCCCATAGCCTGAGGAGGGGCCTGGACGGCAGGTCTGGGCCTCTTACTGGGTTGGACAGGCATGGTAGGCGCTGGCCTGCGGAGCGGGGCTGAGGGTCGGGAACTTCCCGCTAGCTGAAGGCGGGTGTCGAAGCTCCTTTCTATGATCTGCGCCGGAAATTTAAAATAGAATTTATATTCAAAAATATCAAATGCGGAAGCGAGATCAAAATTTCAGTTAACATCCCTTATACGAAAACCAAAAACGTGCTCAAAATATAAAAGATTAAACTAACAAAAAAAAAACTCGAAAGTAAAGCTATGAGTATGACTATGGAGTCTCTAA